AGGGAGGAAAAAGGAAAGGCGGTTGGAAAAAAACGGGGAAGATGGTCTGGGGAATAGTCTGGTACGTTGCCCTCGGGCACACCCTCAAAACGGTCACTTGGCCCCTTGCTTATTCTGCGTGGAGCCCGACTGAGCAGGAGGTGGAAGAGGGTGGCTCGGGTGGCACTTGTAGCCCTTGGCCTTCTTATGAGGCAGGTCCTACCGAGGCTGCCTCCCTTGTCCCTCAGGCTGTTTCGGTTTGAACTGCTTATGTGCTGGGTCTGGGATGTACAGCCCCAGTGTTTTCAGGGTGGTACGGGAATCCTTTAAACCATGCAGCTTGGTATCAGTCTGTTCTGCAAATAGGGCCTGGCCGTTGAAGGGAAGGTCCTGCATCGACTGCTGAGTTTGGTGGACAAGCCAGAGAGGAGCAGCCAGGAAGCTCGCCGCATAGAGATGGCGGAAGCTATGGTGCGGGCTGCAGAATCCGCTGCGTCAGAAGCCGCCTGGACGTCCGTTCTGGCCACCGTTGTGCCCTCTGCGAGTATCACCCGAAATTCCTTCCTGGACCATTCGGGGAGTGAATACTTGAACTTGCCCATGACCTGCTATGTTCTAATCATAGCAGCCAAGAAAGTCCTGGTGATTGGCCACTCTCAATTACAGGCTGGAAGATTAATACATCTTATGCCCAAAAAGATCCAGCCTCTTTGAGTCTTTATTTTTGGGGGTAGCCCCGGGTTGGCCTTGCCTCTCTCTGTGGTTAACCACCTCAACCACAAGGGAACTGGGGGCCAGGTGGGAATTGGGGGCCAGGACTCATGCCCTTTTGTTGGTACAAAGTACTTGCACTTGGCCCTTTCAGAAATGGGGGCAAGGAGGAGGGAGTCTGCCACAGGGCAGTGGTAATCTTTGATACCCCCTCATGAAGCGGTAGAGCCACCCTGGCAGGAGCTGAGGAGCATAGGACATCAAACAAGGAGTCTGAAGTTTCTTCCAACTCCTTGGCCTGGAGCCCAAGGTTAGATGCAACCCTCTTCAATAGTTTCTGGTGTGCCTTAGTATCATCCTGAGGAACTGGATGAGGAGGCTCCGTGATACTCTCGTCTGGCAATGATATGGGTGATGCTGGTACCGCAGGAACCTCCATGTCCATTGATGGTCCAGCAGGCTGCTCCCCTGGGTCCTCCTGGACCTGTGGGGTCCTTCTCCACGAAGTCTCGGGCACTGTAGGTGGTCAGGATGCCAAGGTCACTAGCCTGTTTGAGGCTCCTGACACCAAGCATGCAGCCTGGGAAGGCTGGGTGAACCCCAAGAGGTTCCATGGATACCATGGTGCCAGCCACTCTGCCTGGGGCCCTGGGATAGGTTTGGATGCTGAAGATGTAGGCAGCACCCCAGGCAGTCCTGCAGTTAGGGAGCCCAGCTCGGTGCTGGAGCTGTAGCCGGAGCAGTCGCTACCTGGTGACCAGGATCGGGCAGAGCAGCAGCTCTTATCTGACTGGTGCTGGTCGCTGCACCTGGAGGCAGACCTGTTTGAACGGGACAAATGTCTTGGTCTGGGCCTTGGGGACCAACAGCATTTGGCAGATCGGTGTCAGAAACCTGGCAATCTATGCCTTACACTACCCAACTGGTACCAGGATGTTTAGTAGGACCAGGAGCTATCACACACCAGTTGCTGGGAAGTCCCTGAACGTGGCGATCTCAGTCTCGGAGATTGATGATGGCGGTCTGGTGACTTCAACCCCTTGATTGGTCCTGGGATCTGTACCGAGCTTTTGGTGACGTGAGGGGTCAGTCTCGGTGCTCCTGCCACGGGACACACACCTCAGTGGGTCTGTGCCAGACTACCGGCGAGATACGCCTTGAATCCCACTGTCTGTGCCCAAGGTCTGAGGACTGAAGAGGGCTTCGCTAAGCCTGCCTATCTGAGGTGTGACAGCTTCAGGCGGGCGAGTAGTGGCGGGACATCCCATGTGATGGGAAATGGTGCCGCTGAGGCAGGGACACATGCGGAGGTCCCAAGGCGGGTTTACCCTGAGACCTGAGTACCACTGGAGCCGGTGTGGGTGGCACTGGAAGCATCAGGATCTCCTGAACTGCCTGCAGAGCCTCAGGAGTCGATGGCGCTTGGAGCTGGTGGAGGCCTGTACCACTATTTGGAGTCACAGGCAAAGCATGGGATGGGCTGCACCGTTTGGCTTGAGCTGGGGCCTGACTTCCCAAAGGGGGTGTTGAGCTGCTCGGCACAGGTCTTGGCTCACCCCCAGCCCTCTCTTTTCCCTTGCAGGAAGTAGGGGATCTTCCCCTCCCTGTCTTGTTTGGCTTCTTGGCTGGAGCTGCAGTGGGTGGGGACCGGGACCGACTCATGGACGGTGTGAGCGGAGAACCGTGCACCGATGCTGTGGTGCTCGGTGCCGAGTCAGACCGTTGCTCTGGTGCTAGAGTGAGTGCTGACTCACTCCATCAGGAGCGCCTTTAAGCGATTGTCCCTGTCCTTTTTCATCCTGGGTTTGAAGGACTTACAAAGATGACACTTGTCGCTTATGTGCCCTCACCCAAGCACCGTAAGCAGCTACTATGTGGATCGCTGATGGGCATAGGCCATCTGCAATGATCACAGGGCTTAAAGCCTGGGGACTGGGGCATGCCCCATCCCCCGGCTGAGTCCCGTTCGGGACTAACGAAGAGTTCGAGAACTACTGCTAAGGGTAACTAATTCAACTACTAAATATATACACCTATATTACAGGTTTTCAAAGTTCACAAGAACAGAGAACGAAACAATGTTAGCAGAAGCAGCAGATGTTCCAGCACAGTCACTGGCAGCAAGAAGGCATTGAGGGTTGGGGGAGCTGGCGGCATCCTTTACACCGTGCCATGCGGGCGCCACTCCAGAGAGTACCAGAGCTGGTCCCCTAAGGATGCTTAGGGAAAAACTTCCAGCACTGGTGCATGTGGCGCGTGCACACACCTAATGGAATGGACATGAGCAAGCACTCAAAGAACTTCTAATTTTTTTCTTGTGTTGCCCTATATATTGTGTATATATATAGTTTTTTTCTCTCTCTCTTTTTATATATATATACACACACACACACACACACACACACACACACACCAAATTTAATTTTAAATAGGTTTATATTTAAAAAGAAAACACCCCCTGTCAAGGTTCCTTCCCCACTCTGAACTCTAGGGTACAGATGTGGGGACCTGCATGAAAAACCTCCTAAGCTTATCTTTACCAGCTTAGGGCAAAACTTCCCCAAGGTACAAAATATTCCACCCGTCGTCCTTGGATTGGCCGCTGCCACCACCAAACTAATACTGGTTACTGGGGAAGAGCTGTTTGGACACGTCTTTCCCCCCAAAATACTTCCCAAAACCTTGCAACCCACTTCCTGGACAAGGTTTGGTAAAAAGCCTCACCAATTTGCCTAGGTGACTACAGACCCAGACCCTTGGATCTTAAGAACAATGAACAATCCTCCCAACACTTGCACCCCCCCTTTCCTGGGAAATGTTGGATAAAAAGCCTCACCAATTTGCATAGGTGACCACAGACCTAAACCCTTGGATCTGAGAACAATGAAAAAAGCATTCAGTTTTCTTACAAAAAGACTTTTAATAGAAATAGAAGTAAATAGAAGTAAAGAAATCACCTCTGTAAAATCAGGATGGTAGATACCTTACAGGGTAATTAGATTCAAAACATAGAGAATCCCTCTAGGCAAAAACTTAAGTTACAAAAAAGATACACAGAAATAGTTATTCTATTCAGCACAATTCTTTTCTCAGCCATTTAAAGAAATCATAATGTAACACGTACCTAGCTAGATTACTTACTAAAAGTTCTAAGACTCCATTCCTGGTCTATCTCCGGCAGAAACAGCATATAGACAGACAGAGACCCTTTGTTTCTCTCCCTCCTCCCAGCTTTTGAAAGTATCTTGTCTCCTCATTGGTCATTTTGGTCAGGTGCCAGCGAGGTTACCTTTAGCTTCTTAACCCTTTACAGGTGAGAGGAGCTTTCCCCTGGCCAGGAGGGATTTCAAAGGGGTTTTTCCTTCCCTTTATTTTTATATATATGACACCCCCAGATTTTCATTTTAATCACCGATTTTTATTCTGGACATCAGATCACACAAGAAGTGTCTTTTTGGTGAGAAAATTCATCTGACATGGAGAGTTTTACTAAACAAAATAAATATTCTTGCTGTAGTTTTTAAACTTTTCCTCATTTAGCCCAACAGTGAATTTAAGGAATTGCAAGCAACAACAATGAATATAAATACAGTAGACCAAAGTCTGCTCTCAGTTACACTACCAGCATATATCTGGAATAACTCCATTGACTCTACTGAAATTGAGAGAATCAGAGCATAACTAAGAGCATAATAATTTGGCCCAGTATGTGTGAAAACAGCTAAGGTACAGGAACATCCCACGAGGAGCGCTGGAGGGAAGGTGGCTTTAAGACAGCTTTGTACCCTCCTGATTCTGAGCTTTTCAGGAGCCAAAAAAGCCCTGGGGGCTGCTCTAAGTTATAGCAACTGTTCTGATGCTACCAAGGGTCAGATCTACAACCTGAAGCTGCTCCAGAATCGCCATTGTGCTCAGCATGAAAACCTCATTCCCAGCCCTGCTGGTAGTACACCCTTACACCAGTGTTTCCAAGGGATCCTACATAGGGCATCTGCCTTATACAGTGCTTGTCCCAGGCAAATTCCTCCCTGGTTAGTTAAGGGATTTGTACAAACCCTAAATGCTACTACAGTGGGAGGGAGAATACCTCCTCTAGTCTGTATTGCATTGTAGGGCCTGGCTGGAGCAGGTATTTGCTCCCTACAAGGGACAGATGGAGCAGGATTGGACCACAATGCACAATTTTGACCTTTTGTTTTCAATATTATTTTAAGACACTTATTAAACTTTCCCTCTGTCAGAGACTCTATACCCAGTGGAACCATGTGAAATACATCAATATCCAGCCCTTGTCCTAGTCTCTTCCTTACCTGATATAAGTGGAGAAAAAACCACCAGAAGCTGTCCAACAGGATAGCATGGGAGACTGGAGCTGTGAGAAACTTCTGCAGCATTTTTGAAGGAAAAGGTGTCTGGCAAAGAAATGAAACTTTGCAACATCATGCAGCACAGACAGATGAAGATACACTCACAAGGCAAATCACTCTCTGATCTTTACACATCCTTTCTCCTGTTCTCAACTCTACCATTAATCCATCCTTAAGAACCTCCAAATTTCTCATTCACAGAGCCTTACAAGCAGCATGCCATTTCTGGGAAACAAATGCACACATTCTCACAGCACTCACACACATATTCACATACATGTGCATGGCAATCATGCATATCCACTCATATGTAGATACACGCACGCAAGCACACATTTGCTGCTCTTTGTAAGTATGTAGAGTACCTTCCCACTTGCTGACTTTCTCTGGGCACACACCACCTTCTCTATGACATCAGTCAGCTCCGTCCCATTAGGCAGCGGTGTTGGCTCATGCATGTTGTACCCTGGGTATTGATACAGTTCCACCAGCTTGTTCTTTTCTGATGTATTCTGAGGCTAGGGTGACAAAGAGGGAGGAAAGACCCAATACAAAACACATATACTTATGACAAGTGCCTGCAAATCCCCCAGCCTCTGGTGCTTTATGTCTCAAGACCAGGAACTGGCTATTTCAAGACTTGATTTATCTGTGGTTCTGAACCTCTTGGTTGTGAGACTTCAATGGGGAGTTTGTGAGGTGGGGGTTGGTCACCAGCCCATTCCTTGTCCCTATTTAAATGGATTTGTTCAGGCACTTATAATTGGTCCAGATACCAGGAGTGCCCTATAAGGGTTTTTGAGCATTTCCCATTGGAGTCTATGGGAGTTTTGCCATTGACTTCAACAGCAGCAGGATCAGACCCTAAGTGTTGTGCTGATCTTCATGGTGGCTACTCCGAAGTATCACACAAAAGATTTTGAGGTTTCACTCCTGGAGGACTGGTTGCAAATGGCTGAATCATGGTTTGAGAGGCTGAAAATCACTGGTCTACTGAAGCTGACGCCCAGCAGAAGATGGAACTCGGGGAAAGGAATGAGAAGAGCATGCTGCAGTCTTTATACTAGTTGCTGTTCTTTTCCCTGTGTGACTTCCCTTATCCTCTGCAAACTCCAGGGAGAAGGAAATCATGATTTCCGTTTGTATAGAGCCCACTACTCTTGGATCTGTGACTAGTCATCCATTGCTAGAAAAAGATCCAGAGTAAGATGCCAGAAACCACTAGTGGCATGAGTGTAGCAGCTACACAAGAAACTGAAAGGTTGAGATTATTTAGCTTGAAGAGGAGAAGTTAGAGGGGACTTGATTGATGAGTCGAAAATGATGAGCAGCCTAGGCCTGGTCTACACTACAAAGCTAGGTTGATGTAAGTTGCCTCCCATTGACCCATTTATGAATGAGTCCACACTCAAATTTGTCTCCTGCCAACGTAAGTGTCCCATTACAGGTGTCACAGTAACATCCCCTCCCTGAATGGCACTGAGCCATGGTCAACACAGCGAGAGTGTAGACACTGCATGACCTGTGTTGACCATAACAGTCCTCCAGCAGGTCTTCACAATTCTCGACAGCGAGCACTCTGCTCACAATTGTAAACTCCACTGCCTAGGGGTCACAGAGAAGGGAAGCTACCAATCCCGCCTTTAAAACCTCTGTATTTTTGAAATGCCATTCCTGATTGCCCAGCTTGGTGAGCTCACCTAGCAGCTCTCCCTTGTTGTGTACAGCTGCCTTACTGACCATACTGGTCACATGCTCTCTAGACACACTCCTGCCTGGAGTAGACGGGAGACAGTGGATCTCCTGGGCCTCTGGGGAGAAGAGACTGTGCAGGCACAGCTATGGACCCAGTCACATAAACATGGACATCTACAAAAAGACTGCACTGGGGATGCAGGCAAAAGGGTACAAAAGGAATCAGCAGCAATAGCACATGAAAGCAAAGGAACTGCGGCAGGCACTATGAAAGGCCAGGGAGGCCAACAGATGATCTGGTGCCAAGCCACAGACCTGCTCGTTTTACAGCTAGCTGCATTCCATACTTGGTGGAGACTCCAACAGCATCCTTCAGACCACTATGGATTCCTTGGTGGAGCCTGAGAGACCACTGTTGTGAATAGCAAGGAAGAGGAGGAGGGACATGTGGTGAGTGGGTTCTGCTATGCTGCAAGCCAGGATCTTTTAGAGACTCCACTGCAGTCTAGACATTCCTGCCAGCTGAGCACAGATAAGCCTGATCCAGGGTAAAGAACCTTAGACACATGTGTGAGTGCATTCTCCCTTAAAAAGAATATATGTGAAGATGACACCAGGGTCAACACCAGGTTAGCAGAACACAGGTTTCTGCTTTTCATCATTTTACTCCTACGAGATGAGCAGGAGAAGAGGTAAAGGTACAACAAAACTTAGAGGTAGAGCTGGTATCTGCTTTTCTTTCCCGTCAGGTTGGGGGCAGGCTGTGTAGCAATTTGTTTATGTGCATAAGGATGTTCCTTGTATCCTCCTAAGGGATCGTGATGAAATTTTCATGGAGACGGTCTGCAATCCTCTCCTGAAGGTTTCTAGGGGTGGCTGCTTGATTTCTTCTTCCATGGTAGGATGCTTTCCCACGACACTCCATGCCGACTTTGGCAGGTGCCATTGTAGTAAACAGGCTAGCAGCATATGGACCCAGGAGGCTTCAGGATCCCAGCAGCAGCTGTGCTCTCTGTGTCTTTGTTACCCTCAGGAGTGAGATATCAGCTAAAATCATCACCACCACCTGTGGCAAATAGTGCCAGTACTCAGTGCCATTGCCCTGTACTTGTATCCATGGAAATAGGGGCCGAAATTTTCCTGTTTTACACAACCAAACAATTCCCTCCTCCCTCACCCACACTCCCCGTGGGCCATACTCACCTTGCTGCAGCTGGAGAGTGGTGCTGTGGAGAGATGCTCCAAGGCTGAAGGGTCAATAAGCATGGCTGATTTTAAAACTTTTATGGGAGAAGGAAGGGAGTTCTGAAATTAAATATTTTACTTTCTGTTGTGACTGTAAATACAATCTTTTATCTGCAGTTGCTGCCGTTACAGCCCTGAAAAGTGCCCCCTCCACACCCACGGGACACCAATCCCTGATGAGGAGGAGGAAGAGGCGGACTACAGAGGACACGTTCAGTGAGATCCTGCAAACCAGTGCTGCATCAGACTATGAAAAGAAAGCATGGAAAGTGCATATGGCAGACAGCTTGGAGAAGGAAAGAGTGGACAGGAGAAATGCCCAGGAGTCCTATCAGGGAAAGAAGAGGGAGATGCACCTGGACATAATGGGGCTTCTCAGACAGGAAACACAAATGCTGCAGACTTTTGTTGACCTACAAGTCAATCACATGCTTACCTCCTTTTGCAGTCAATGGACAACTCCATTTGAGCAGTTCCCTATAACCCCCAACATTCCATGCGGCAACATGGGCTGCATCCCTACCACTACAACTCCACGGTAGGGGACAGTAAAAAACACAGCTTCACATACACTGACCTGTGAGAGCCACGACTACTGTATGTTTGGCAAAAATAGACACAAATGTTTTCTAGCATTCTAATTGTAAAGGTCTGTTCTGTTAATTTATTGAATAAGTTTACACTCTGTGGGTTTTTAATTGCTCATTATTCTTTGCACTGTTTTGGTTACACAATACGTTTTAATTTTTTGGTAATAAATTCATCTTTATTATTTCATAGCATATCCAGCAGAATGCCTAGCACTACCAAAAGCACGCATTAATTGTAATTGGACATAATCACAGAACTCATACGTTCAGTGCAAAACACATTGTAATAATGATAAATGTACAGTAAGCACCACATAATTTGTAGGTTCATTAAAAGACCGTGTGATATTCATAAATGTACACCAAACACTGCACAACTCCTAACAATCTCCAAAACTTCAGGGCCAGATACAGCATTATCCAGCATGACACATTATTGGGGCTGACAGTTAAAGTGCTCTTTCAAAGCCTCCCACAACCCCATAGCTCTGCACTGAGCTCTCATCCACTCAGTTCCCTGAGAACTCTTTTTTACTCCAGTCTCGTTACTCAGGTTCCTTTATTTGGCATACAACAAAGTTAAGCTGAGTTGATCAGACTCAAGCATAGTGGGAGAAGGTATAAGGCATACCATAAATCCAGACTTACAAAGCAAATGTCTTCCTTCATATACATGTACTACATTGTGTTTACTGTAGATTGCATCACATATTTTTGGATTGGATTGGTTACTTTGTAGGGACCAGTCTCTGTACAGCATGCTGTATTCACACACTGTCCACGTTTGACCTACTCTTTACTTCATCTTTACATTCCTGACTTATCTTGTCCATTGTTATATTGCTTGTAGTAAATAGTTTCTTGGGTGTTCTCCCTCTTATCTTGGTTAGCTCAGACATTGTCTCTTAGATTACTGACCCATTTACTTATATTATTTAGCACAACTATTACATTTTCAGCCAGCTAATTAATTTACCTCCCTACTCCTGTCTTCCAAGACATGAGGCCTCCCCAACGTTTAATTATTTATGTCAGGCCAAGCCTACATCCCCTTGTGTCTGACTGTTCAAAGTCACTCCACCTCCACCTTCCACTCCGGCGGCAATTTCTCCCCCTTTGCCTCACAGACATTAGGCAGGACACAACAGGCAGTTATAACCACTGGAATATTTTTTTCCACTGAAATCCAATCTAGTGAGTAAACATCACCCGCATCCCTTCAGTCTTCCAAAAGCACATTCAACTATCATTCTGCACCTGCTGAGCTGGTAGCTGAATCTTTCTTTGGAGCTATCAAGTTGGCCAGTGTATGGCTTCATGAGTCAGGGGGAGCAAGGGATACTCTGGGTTCACCAGAATCACAACTGGTATTTCAATATCATCAATGATAATCCGCCAGTCAAGAAAGCATGTTACTGTGTGCAGCTTGCTGAGCAGTCCTCTGTTCTTAAAGATGAAAGCCTCATGCCCACACTGATATGGGAGAAGTGTCCCCAGTGATCCACCAGTGCTTGCATAACCATAGAAAAGTAGCCCCTTCTGTTGATGTGCTCTGTTGCAAGATGTGTGGCTGGTGCCAAATCAGGGATGTGCTGTATATGCCCTACCACAGTTTGGGTACCCTAGAGCTGCAAATATATCCATGATAGCCTGAACATTGCCTACAGTCGCAGTCCAGTGTAGCAGGATACAACGGCCCTACTCAATTGTATGACAACAGCCCGCACTGTGAATTTTACAACTCCAGAATGATTTTCCATTGACCAGCTGCAGTTCGGCACTGTAAACTTCCACAGTTAGATCATCCCTCGCTTCTGAACTGTAAGTGCTGGTCTCAGTTTTGTGTCCTGCGTGGGAGGGCTGAAGCAAGATCAGCACACAGATCCTGGAAGATGGCCTTTTGCATCAGAAAGTTCTACAACCACTGCTTATCACCACAAATCTGCATTACGATGCGATCCCACCTGTCTGCTCATTTCTCAAGCAGCGCTCCACACTCTGCAGCTGATCCATGAATCCCAACAACCTTAAATTGGTTTTCGCTATGTCCCTTAGCAATCTGTCCTCAAATAAATCGTCATGTCCCCAGTTGTTATGATACTTCCTACAGCTCTGCAAATACTGGAGGAGTCATTGGTTCTGTGTTTGCAATGTTCACGACAATAGTGCAGAGCTGCATGGGCTCCATGCTTCTGTCAGAGATGGTGGACAAGTGCTGCGTGGGTTTGTGGGATTTTAAAAAAGGCGTGAAAATTAGGGATAGGGATGGCATTATGAGATGGAGAAAACTGCATGATGGGAACTTGACTCTCCCAGGTCCCAGAGTTCTTTGTGCGACTCATTTCTACCCGATAACACATTGCAAAAATCCCCCAAAAGGTATTGCACGGGAGGGTGGTGCACAATGCTTAATTTGTGCCAAGGCTTGCTATGGCTAAGCCCTGGTACCTCCAGGCTTGGCAGTTCATAGCCCTGGCATCTCTAGGCTTGCCAAATCAGTTACGAAAGTAAAAAAATTGCCTGAGCCCCGGCACCTCTTTCATTTCAAATTAAGCACTGGTGGTGTGTGACACATTAGGACACCTACCCATGGTACACTGCACTTTGCATTGAGATAAGCATGCTTGATGAGTATACAAAGTGCCAAAGCAAGCAGACAAGTGTGCATGCTCACAAGTGAATATACCAACTTCAGTGGCTTTATGCTGACATACCTTGCACTGACCAGTCTGTAGTGTAGACCTGGCCCTAGTGATAACTGATCAGACCTTCCCCTTCTTACCTGTTCCACAACAGAACACAAACAAGACTTGTGAAATTGAAGGGCAGTAAAATTTAAAATCAATAAAAAGGAAATAACCCTTTACAGAGCATACAGTATAATCAATCTGTGGAACTGGTACGGAATGAAGGAGGATACAGGAAGGGATGGACCAGTGATATGATCCAATTTGTTAGGAGGGGGGGAAAATGGACTAGACAGACCAGTGGTCTGATGCAATAAGGCAATTCCTACATTCCTATGAATCCCTCCCAAAAATAAAACAAACATCAATTATTTCCCCCAGCAATCTAGAGAACTGGACTCTGTCTCTTTCCAAGAAATATTGCATATGTGTAGGGGAAGGGAAGAATTCTGCCCCTTCTCATAGGTGATCTTACCTTCTTGTAGGTGATCTTGGTCTGATCTAGTGAGTCAAAGTCTGACACATTCATAGGATGCTCATACTTCTGTGCAAAGCGGCATATCTCCTTCCTATCTCTGTCTGCAGCAAGAAGATAGAAGAATGAGAATACTGAGGGGCTGAAGAGCATGACTGAGGCCAAAATGACACAAACCAGGAGAATTTCAGCTGAATCAGAAAGGTGAGGCAGCATGCTACTCTCTACCCTACTTCATTCCAGTGAATAAGAGTGAGGATGAAGGGAGGCGGGGGGAGGGGGAGAATGGATGTACCCTTCTCCGCTATCTCAGTATTAAAGAATCAGTTAAGGTACTGGCTCAAGGAAGTAAAATGGCAAAATTATGGTGACATCCAGGTTATATATCAAATAAGAAACACTATTATAGATATAGGAACAGTTACCTTTCCAACAACATATGGGGGAAAGACAACCTTGCAGTTAAGGCACAGAACTAGTAGCCATGAAATCTTGGTTCTATCTTGGTCCTGCCACATAAACCCTACATGACCTGGGAGAAATAATTTAACCTCTCCCTGCCTCCATTTCTCCAGCTTCAAAATGTTTTCCTATTTCTGTACTGCTTCATAGATTCCAGGTCCATAAGGGACCTTTGTGATCATCTAGTCTGGCCTTCTGTATAGCACAGGCCATAGAAGTTCCCCAAAATCATTCCTAGAACAGGTAAAATATCCAATCTAGATTTAAAAAATTGCCAGTGATGAAGAATCCACCATGACCCTTGGTAAATTGTTCCAATAGTTAATTAATCTCACTGCTACAAATGTATACCTTATTTTCCAGTCTGAATTTGTCTAGCTTCAACTTCCAGCCATTAGATCATATTATACTTTTCTCTGCCAGAGTGAAGAGCCCATTATCAAATATTTGTTCCCCATGTGGATACTTATAGACCAGGGGTCGGCAACCTATGGTACGCTTAGCCCGCTGCCGGTCTGGGGTTCTGGCTGCCAGCCCCTTGCCAGCCAGGGTTCCGGCCACAGGCCCCGCTCACCCTGCTGCCAGCCTAGGTGAACGGAACCCCAGGCTGGCAGCGGGCTGAGCAGGCCAGCGGCGTAAGATTAGCATTTTAATTTAATTTTAAATGAAGCTTCTTAAACATTTTGAAAACCTTGTTTACTTTACATAAGACAATAGTTTAGTTATATAATACATCAGGGGTCGGCAACCTATGGCACGCATGCCAAAGACAGCATGCGAGCCGATTTTTAATGGCACGCTGCTGCCTGCCAGGTCCCAGTCGCTCAGCCCGGTGCCAGACCCAGGCCTGGACCCTGGCAGGCAGCAGCATGCCATTAAAAATCCTGCCAGCCCTGGCCCACTCTTCTCCGCGCCCCCACCCCCCGCCCCCGACAGGATGAAGAAGCTTGGTCCTGATGGCTGCTGCTGCAGGGCAGACAAGCTCCCCCTCCCCCGCCTCTTCCCCCCAGTGTGCTGCGTTCCTGTCCCTCCTTCTCTCCCTGCCGAGGATCAGCTGATGGCCCCAGCTGATGGCCCTTGCGTGGGAGGGGGAGAAGAGGAGCTCGCTGCACCCGGGAGAGGCGGAGAAGAGGTGGGGACAGGGTCTTGGGGAAGGGGGGTGGAATCACGGCATATCCCCTCCAGCCCCCTGCCGTGAGCCACTCTGAGCAGGGGGCTGGGAGCACCCCCACGACCCCAGCCCACACTCCCAGCCCTCTGCCCTGGTCCTTACATCCCCCCCCAACCCCCTGCCCTGAACCCTGCACCCCCTCACACACAGCCAGCCCTCTGCCCTGACCCCTGCACCCCCCAAATACCCCAGCCTCCTGCCCTGACCCTTGCACCCCCCCATGACCCCAGCCCTGACTCCAGTACCCCCCACACATACCCAGCCCTCTCACACCCCATGTCCTGACTCATGCAACCCCACATTCCCACCCCCACCCTGAGCACCAAACAGGAGCTCCTGCACCCTTCCACATTCCCACCTGCACCCCTCGCACCAAATGGGAGCTGCCCAGGTAAGCGCTCCACACCCAAACCTCTTGCCCCAACCCTGAGCCCCCTCCCTCATTCTAGCTCCTGGCCAGACCCTGCATCCCAGCCTGCTCCTTCAACCCGAGCCCTGTGCTCAGTGCACTCCCACTCTCAGCTCAGTGCAGAGAGAGAGGAAGAGAATGGGCTAGAACCAGGGAGAAGGTAGGTATCTACTCTATGTGGGCAGGGCCGGGATCCCAGACCGGCAGCGGGCTGAGCGGGGCCGGCAGCCGGAACCCTGGCTGGCAGGAGCCAGCGGACTGAACCCCAGACCAGCAGCGGGCTGAGTCACTCAGCCCACGGCTGGTCTGGGGTCCCGGCCGCTGGCCCCGCTCAGCCCGCTGCTGGTCTGGGGTTCTGGCTGCCAGCCCCTTGCCAGCCCCTTGCCAGCCAGGGTCCTGGCCGTAGGCCCCGCTCAGCCTGCTGCCAGCCTCAGTGAACGGAACCCCAGGCTGGCAGTGGGCTGAGTAGGCCAGCAGCGTAAGATCAGCATTTTAATTTAATTTTAAATGCAGCTGCTTAAACATTTTGAAAACCTTGTTTACTTTACATACAACAGTAGTTTAGTTATATAATATATAGACTTATCGAGAGAGACCGTCTAAAAAACGTTAGAATGTATTACTGGCACGTGAAACCTTAAGTTAAAATGAATAAATGAAGACTCGGCACACCACTTCCGAAAGGTTGCCAACCCCTGTTATAGACTGTACCAAATCACCCCTTAGCCTTCTCTTTCTTAAGATAAATAGATTGAGCTCCTTGAGTCTATAACTATAAGAGATGTTTTTTAATCCTTTAATCATTCTTGTGGTTCTTCTCTGAACCTTCTCTAATTTATCAACATTCTTCTTGAATTGTGGGCACCAGAACTGAACACAGTATTCCAGCAGTGGTAGCACTTGTGCCAATTATAGAGGTAAAATAACCTCTCTACTCCAACTCGAGATTCCCATTTATGCAGCCCCAGATCGCACTAGCTCTTTTGGCCACTGTGTCACACTGGAGCTCATGTTAAGCAGATTACCCACCATCACTCCCAAATCTTTTTCAATCACTGTTCCCAAGATAGAGTCCCCCATCCTGTAAGTGTGGCCTGCATTCTTTGTTCCTAGATGTATACATTTACATTTAACCGTATTAATACCCATATTCTTTGCTTGCACTCAGTTTACCAAGTGATGTAGATTGCTCTGAATCAGTGACATGTCTTCTTCATTATTTAATGCTCCCTCAATTTGTGTGTCAGCTGCAAATTTTATCAGTGAGGATTTTATGTTTTCTTCCAGGTCATGGATAAGAATTTTAAATAGCATAGAGCCAAGAACTGTCCCCGTGGGAACTCACTGGAAACATATCCATTCAATGACGATTCCCCATTTACAATTCCATTTTGAAGCCTACCAGTTAGCCAGTTTTTAATTCATTTAGTGTGTGCCATGTTAGTTTTATCAAAATATCACGTGATACCAAATCACTTCACAGTAGTGTTACAAGGCTATATTCATTAATTTTTATGAGGTTCTCAATTACTGTAGGCATGAGTGCCTTACACATGCCAATGGAAAAATACATATGCCAAAACATTTAGCTCTTAGTAGTTTAGGGGGAGCTGATGCACAATCTGTGTTCCAGGTTACCGGGGGTTCCTTAAATCAAAACAATGAGATTTGCTAGTGATGTATGTGACACTGAATATTATTTATCATATCTATACTGCATTATTCTCACACCACTCATTCTGGTCCCAATGCTGCAAATATTTATGTAAGTGAATAGCCCCATTGAACTCAATGGAACTATCTACATGCATAAAGTTCAGCATGGGCAGGGCTGGCCTTAGGGAAAATGGCACCGTAGGCGAACTTGTATTTTGATGGCCCTGGCCCCCATGGGTGTGGCACCCCCCATTGCCCCTGGCCCCCCATCCTGCCTTCCCCCCTAACCGTGCCCCCTTCGCTCCAAATGCCTGCTCCCCCTCCTGCACCCCTAATTCCTGCACCACTTCACTCCCAACCTCTGCCCCCCTCCTGCACCCCAACACCAGCCCCCCTAACACCTGCACTGTGCCCTCTTCACCCCAACTCCAGCACTCCCCTCCTGTGCCCCAATTCCTGCACCCCTTCACTTCTACCCCCTGCACCTCCCTCCTGAGCCCCTAAACCCTGCAGTATGCATGCCTCCTCACCCCAACTCCTGTCCCCTAATGAGCCCCTAACCCCTGCACTGTGCCCCCTTTGCCCCTAACCCTTGCATCCCCCTCCTGCACTTATGTTGGGAAACTGACCTGGATACACAAAGCAGCTGGCATTGCTGCTTGCTCCCCCACTGGACTGCTACTCCTCCTCCCCGCAGCCCTAGGGGTCTGTGAGCAAGGAGATGTCAGGGCTTCCTGTATCCAGGTCACTTTCCCTGCGGACTGTGTAAGGGGAGGGCAGGAGAGCAGCAGCTCCTGATGCCTCAGCACAGCCCAGGTGGGGAAGTGACCTGGATGCAGGGAGCCTTGGTATGTGTGTTGCGGGGACTATGTGAAGGAAAGCGTGTGTGTGTTGAGGGGAGTGTGTGTGCTTGAGTGAGTATGCTGTCTCTTTAAGAAAGCACTCAGGGTCAGGAGCCTGAACGAGGCTCCTTGGAACACAAGCAGCTGCCAGCAGCTCTGGACCCAGAGAGGCACCAGCACACACAGATTCCCCCTGTCCAGTCACCCCAGCTTAGTGGAAATTGGGTACACAGGTGGGGGAGGAGGAGGACACCCTGCCATCAGCCCCTCTCCCCCCCACAGAGCAGACAGGAGGATGCTCCCAGTATAGGCGCCGACTCCGTAGGTGCTCCCTGCCCCAGCTCACCTCCACCTCCTCCCCTGAGTGTACCTTCCCCACTTCTCCTTCCAGCGCTTGCCCAAGCTGTGGGAGGGAGGGGGGAGGAGCAGGAACAAGGCATTGGAGCGCTCAGGGGAGGAGTCGTGGTGGGGATTTGGGGAAGGAGTCCAATAGGGGCAGGGAGGGGGCGGAGTTGGAGCTGGGACTTTGGGGAAGGGGTTGGAATGGGGGCAGGGCAGGGATACAGTTGGGGCGGGACCCACCGGTGCCAGGAGAAGTTGGCACCTATGGCTCCCAGTCCGAAGGGAGGAAGTGGGGGACAGGAATAGCAGTGGCTGCACCCATGGAGCAGGGCGGAGGAGGGGCATCCCTGCTCCAGAGGAGTCACCTGGCTTGAGGGCTGGTCGTCCAACTGCCCCCTGCAGCTCGGGTCTCTCCCCATGCTCCATGTTGCTGCTCGCCTGCCTGCCCTGCTGCCTCCATCAGCCCAGCTGGCCTCTCGGCAGCAGGACAGGTGGGAATCCAAACCCTGTGCATGGCGCCCCCTTGGGTGGGCCACCCTGGGCAAGGGCCTGTACAGCCCACCCCAAAGGCTGGCCCTGAGCGTGGGCAGAAGTATTCACAGATTCAGGGCCTAAACGCCCCCAACCCTGTCCCAATTATTCACTGGGCTCAAAACCTGTCATTGATTCTCTGCAAGAGGTGTCTTTGTTTGTTTCAAAGTCCTCATCAGGAATCTAGAGCTGTCTCCAGGACATGAGGGCACACACGGTTTGTACATTCAGAATTTCAAAAATTACATGGTAAAATTACTTTTTGCTAGGACAAATACACAAGGAGGACGTGAGCTGCTTGAGATGCCAGGGGCATTTCAATCTGGAGCTTGCAGGAAATGTCCTAAACTGTGACTCCACTGGAAAGGGGATCATTAATACCCCAGTATTCATTGGCAGGAAATGTCCTGATCTGAGCTCCTTAAGCTGTACTCATCTCCCCAATAAAACCCCAAAGATATGTAATTAGAAAGCATGTGTGCCTCTTTCCCTGGATGTCTTGAAGTGCTTTTTCTCTCTTCTGAAGCTCTTCTGTCCAGAGTATCTCTTTAATGATTCCAAGTCCTCAATCACCTTCAACAATAACAAAAACAACAGCAATTGGTGTTAGGGATTAATTCCACACTAAGTTTTGGGGCTTGGGAACAAAAGGACCCCGGACTCCTAAAGTAGCTACTTAAGCTCAAATGTTTTCAGTTCTGAAATATAATTCTACAATTAACTTTCTCTTGCTTCCTTTTTCTGTTATTACCTTTCGTGCCATTGCTCTTCCATTCTCTTTCCTCTCCCTACTACATACATACCTACACACACACGCATGCACAAAATCCAGGTAATTCACAAAATCCCCATTCAAAACTGCAAGATTCTGTTCTAATTTTGGGGTATCTGCTCTATAATTCCCCCCTTTAAAGGACTAAGTAATTTCCAGCACCTACTCTCCTCGGAAGCCACTGTTAGGAGACCACTGTTTTGCAACATCTACCCTGCTGGAATGATGCATTGCCCAAATGTACCATTAGGAGTCACTCCTAAGTTACTCCTGGGGGAATTCTGTGCCAAAAAATTAAAAATTCTGCAACAAAAAATTAAAGATTCTGCAAACAATATTTTCAGATTCTGCAAAATTCTGCATATTTTATTTGTCAAAATAACACAATATAATCACACCAGTTTCAATTATTTTTGGTCATTCATTTCAAACTACCTGCCAGCAAATATGTCTGTAACAATAAAGACAATAAAAAAAGATTCAGAAAATATTTTTTGACAAATAGATTCCTTACTAGGCATATTTATACAGAACTCTGAGTAATAATTCATTTAAACTAAAATACAGAACCAAATTTCCTGCACTTCCCAGAAGCCATGCAAAGGCTGGGGGGAATCAAGGGTAACGGAGGAGTGAGAGAGAGAGAAATAATTGCTGGGAAGCAGCCTGGGTGTGAACTTTGAGGGTTGTTGGGTATGGGTGGGAAAAGTATGGAAGAAGTTTTTTTTCGGGGGCGGCAAGGGACTGTTAGGGAACTTCCCCCATGCAGATCCTGGCTGACTCCTAGCCTTTCTCAGTCAGACATAAGTGTCCCTCTGCCTCCACTCAGACACGCCCCCCCGACCCCGTGTGTCCTTCCACCTCCACTCAGACACCCACTCCCCCATTCCCACATGGCCCTGTACCTCCTGCCCATGTCTCTGTGCCCCCACTCATCAACCCCATGTCCCTATGTGGCCCTGCACCCCATCCCTGTCCCCATGTGTCTCTGTGCCCCCACTGAGCCACTCCCCTGTCCCTATGTGGCCCTGCACCTCCCTCCCCACTGTGGCTCTGAGCCTCCACTCCCACTGAGCCCCTGCCCTAGTCTGTCCTCCCCCACTAGCCCTTATGAGCCCCTGTCTGACCCCCCAGCAGCCCACACTATCTGTCTCCCCATAGTCCCTGTCTCCTAACCTGGCCCTACAGAGGCTGTGAAGAAGGCTCTTTCTCTTCCCTAACTGGCTGGGACCACCTGTTGTGTCCTATTGCCACAGTGCCCTCTGGTGGGCAAAAAGCAGTACTGCAGAAGTTACTTGCTGCTGGAAGCTGCTGTTGTGTTCTATTGCCGCAGCACCTGCTGGTGGGCAAAAGGCGGAACTGCAGCAACTTTTGAGCAGAAGCTTTTTTCTGCACAAAAAAATAAAAATATGTATGGCTCATTAATCGTGTGTGCGCAGTGGTGCAGAATTCCCCCAAGTGTACTAAGTCTATGCTTTTCCTTGCATATGCTGCAGCAAACTGTCTTTACTCACCAGGTCACCAGTGTGGAATTTTTCCAACTCCAGTCGCAAATGTGCAATTTTCTGGTTCACTTTCTGCATACTGCCAATTGGGCACACTGAGAAGGTAGGTATGTTAAGGAACCTCTTTGGAGAGTATTAATAAGTGTAACAAACCAGACAAAAAATCATGCTGCTACTCTTTTTCTGATACTTTCTCTATTTGCTGCTATTTCTCTTCCATATTTTCTCTCTCTTTGACTTGTTTTCCCTTGTCTCTGCAGCCCTGACTCATCTCACTAACTGCACAATCCAAATCTTTCAGAAAAGCCTCCAAACCTGTTGCAAATGGTATCCGTTGTTAAGGAAAAGTTAGCACATGTGACTCCATTTTGGTTTGGGGCCCACCATTGTTTAAATGCCAGCACATCATACACCAGGAGGAGTGATCCTTAGATACTGAATCCCTGTGAAAATCCTCCTCCTTGTCTCCAGCCTGCCTTGACTCCCAGTACTTGGTTTTTGTCAGTCTCTAACTCCCTGTCTCTTGGCCTTGATGTGAGGCCTCCCATCCTGATAATAAAGGTTACTGATGCATAGCTTTACGACCATGCTGTGTAATTAACATACTGGTATAGCATGAGGAATGCACTAAGCAGGTATAGGTGGTAGATAAGACAAGGGTTTGTTTATTGGCTAAGGTTTCCGATGCACGAGGGCAACATGCTTTGCTAAAAAGTATATAACCTTTGTATAATCTGTATTCAGGGTCCCCTCCTGGCTAGCAGCGTAATAAACTTAGTGTCTTTTGGGAACTCTGCAGTTGTGGACTTTGTTTCTGTGCCTCAGCCTAGATTCGAACTGTGCGTGACCTATCAGGTATAATTCGCAGCATTGGTGTGCGTGTCCTACCAGGTGTAATTCGTAGCATTTGTGCGCGTGTCCTACCAGGTGTAATTCGCAGCAGTTGTGTGCGTGTCCTACCAGGTGTAATTCGCAGCAGTTGTGTGCGTGTCCTCTCAGGTGTAATTCGCAGCAGTTGTGTGCGTGTCCTCTCAGGTGTAATTCGTAACACCGTACAGTGGAGCTGCAGACTTTGGACTACCAACAAAATGTTTGGCAAATTGGGGACCTCTTGAAAGATTAAAAGGGAAGGGATATTTATTTTGATTTTGCCTCAAAGAGATGCTTCTCATAGGCTCTAGACACCCTGCCATCCATTAAAATACATTCCATATCAATAAATACAGTCTGTACCCCATCTTCACCCTTTTTACAAGACCATGATAAATTTTGTACTAAGTATGCCTTGTGAGGTATCATTTCAAAAATTCAATTTGCTTAACATTATTGTCCTGGTAAAATATGTGTGGCAAAATTACATGTCAAAAATTATAAGCTTCTACTGTATAATATTGCTGTAACATGATCCAAATTTAGAAAAGCAGGCACAAACCAGTTCATCAAAAAGAAAAGACAAACCAACACCTTATCCTGATGTCAACAAAGTCAAGTGGACCATCACCTAGTTAAATGGCCATTCTCTGGCAGGAAGAAATGTGTAAGCAAGAACTTTACATATTGACAATAGAACAACTAGGGGTTCCCATGTAAACAGAATGGCTATCACCTGCACCCCAGCTGGAGATAATCCCCAAAGATAATCCTCACACAACATAAATTACCTCTCTACTCTACTCCTTTGCTCATGGCAGCAATGCCTTAAGAGACACTGAACTGAGGGAGGGGTCCTGGCCTAAAAGCTTCTAGCCATTAAAGACTACAAAGAGCAGGTGATGAGAAAAACCTTTGCTTAGAATCTACCTAGCTTGGTAAATTACATACTAGTTTGCATTTTATCTTTTTATTTTCTTTGTGACCAAGTCTGACTTTTATGCCTCTTTACTTGTAATCACTTAAAATCTTTCTGTAGTTAATAAACTTGTTTTATTGTTTTGTCTAAACGAGCGTGTTTGGTTTGAAGTGTTTGGGAACCTCCACTTGAGATAACAAGGTTTGTGCATATCTTTTTCTACTGATGAACTGACAGACTTTATATGAGGTTGCATCATCCAGTAGAGAGCTGGGCAGTATAAGAAACATTTCTGGGGGAAGATCTGGGACTGGGAGTTTGCTGGTATCGCCCTGTATGGAATTAACGGGTGTCTGGCCAAAGCATTAATGTAATTCAGCTGGGAGTGATTTTTGCGTGCTAGATGCTGTAGGTGAACTGGCCAGGAGTGGTTGTTCTCCCAACAAAGCAGTGCAAAGGCACCTCTGATTGGAGAACTGAGGGGACACAGCTGTTCAACAGTCTAGATTGTACTCTGGGTGATGTCACAATAACCTTCACAGCACAATACATCAGCCAGTCATCAAGAAATAGAACAGCAAAATCTCCCCAACCATTTACTGACAGTCAAAAAGTTTGGTCTATTACAGACCAAGTGTTGATGAAACAAATGAAGTCTTACCTCTCCCTTTCCCAGCATCTGAGCAGTTCTTCACTGCTGAAATCTCAGCATCATGCCCTTATTAGAACAGCCCAAACTGTGGTAGGTTATGTTTAATTGGCCAAGTGAAGCAATCCCTCACACTCAACTCAATGGCATTTCTTTGTGTGTCTGTAACATGATCATTGTTGAAAAATCACATTTCATCAATTCCAGAATCTCAGGGACTCCTCTAGGTATCAATGGGCAGAACCCTATTGATTTTGGTGAAAATCAGAAAGTTAGAAAAGCTTAATTGCCATTAAAATCCCTATTTAGTCATTGAGGATGTAGAGTGAGACGGTGACCTCATCATTAGAGTCCAGTTACGGTTAGTAGAGCCCTTAGCTGCCACCCCCTGCCACACCCATACACTGAACAGAACCCTATTGATGTTGATGAAAATCAGAAACCAAAAAACAAACTGATTTTAGAAACCCCAAAAGCTTGATTTCCATTAACGTTTACCAAAATCAACAGAGTTCTGCCCATCGTGGGGGATGGGGGCAAGGGGCTTGGCTGGAGTGGAAGCACAAGATGCACATCTGGGTGTACAGCTTGGTCTACATAAGCAACACAGTATGTGATTCTCTAGCGTTGATTGTTCACTGGCAGAAGATACATAAAGGTTTCTTGTTTACGCTCTGCTGCATGTTCAACTTCTCAGTCTCCTTTGCTTGTTGCATGGGCAATACCCCCACAAATTCTTGGAATCGGATAATTGGTGAAGTATTATTTAAGGCTGCCATGTTTCCAGTGCAAAATATAAACTAATTCCTAGCAAAGTGGGGACAAAACATTTCCATTACAAAAATATTTTTATAGAATCTCTTCCTCTCTCCCACTTTACTGCCTTCAAAACCAAATGCCCTTTGACAAACCTTATTGGATTTTGCTTTGCGTGGGTTCATACCGAGGTCCCTCTTGATAATTCTTCATTGCCACAGGCAGTAAGGACACTGCACCTCATGTGGAAAGGTCAGGACATCTGTGGGGCTCAGATGAGTGGGAGAAGGTCATCTGAGGATGATTCTCCCCATAACAATGGAAACAAACAGCCAGGCTATGTTTTAAGGCATAAACAAGGATTCAGCAAGCTCAGATGTTTCCAGATGACACTTGTTTTGTGACCATTTGTTTTCTCCCTTATATATATGCTGTATTTATTTATTTTACTTTTATAATTTTAACTGTAATTTTCTTGGGGCAGGCACCTTGTTATATACTTTACTTGTACAGTGCCTTACACACCTATAACACCATAATAATAAATGGGAAATGTGTGGAAGCTCAGAGAAACTTTGGAGTGAAGAGGGAGGGAGACATTAAAATATCAGATTTTGGTAGCATTTTTAAGGTATGATGTGAGATGTCTGGGCCTTCCTCCAACAAATGAGCAGCGAGCAGGCCTGTCAAAAGTTCCTGTAGGAAAATATTAACCAAGATAATTCCCATCTGGGAAAGCAGCTGGTTAGGAGGAAAAGGTGGAGAAGTGGCCCTCTGTCCTAAAAGCAATGAGTTTCCTTAAAAGAGGGACACAGTGAGTGAGGTAATAGCTTTTCCTGGACCAACTTCTGTTGCTGAAAGAGAAGATGGGCTTTGGATCAACACCAGAACTGAAGGTTTCAAGAGGAGCGAGCGGGAAAGCTGGTCTCCTCTTTCACCCTCAGAAGTTGATCCAACACAAGCTATTACCTCACCCACCTTGTCTCTCACACACCCTGGGACCAACAGGGCCACGCCACCACACTCCTCAAAAGCACGTTTTCTTGGGAAGTGACTAGGACATGGCAGGGCTGGTTGTGTCACCCCCGCCGCCGCTGTAGGCCAGACCGGGGCTGTTACACTCGGGTGCCCCTGCGGCGGGCGGGCCAGCAGGGGAGAAGTGCCCCGGCCCAGGCACGGCACCGGGCAGCAGCAGTACACGCAGAGGGCACGGGGGCAGCGCCTCCTCCCCTGCCGGGACTGAACGGAGCCCTCGGGCTGCCCCTGGAGCAGCTCGGAGCCGGGAGGCCCCTACAGCGCCCCCGGGCTGCCAGCGGCTCCAGCGCAGAGCCTCAGCCCAGGAGGGATTTGCAGCCCCGCCCGGGCCCCGAGCGCCTCCTGACGCCACTAGGGGGCGCAGCGTCACACACACACACACACAGCCCGGCTTCGCACGGGCGGGGCCTCGGTGAGACAGGAGCCGGCCCCGCAGCGCGGAGGGCGGCTGAACCCCCGCTGGGGGGCGCCGGACGCGGACGCAGCCCGGGCGGGAAAGAGGCCCCGGCAGCCCCTGAGCCTGCCGGGGTGGCGCTGGCCGCGCACGGCTCACCTGAGCGCTCGCGCGAGCCCCCAGCCAGCGCTAGGCGGGGGAAGTCTCCAGCGAGGGCTCATTATACTAGGCGTCCCTCTATCACCATGGTAACCCTGCGGCGCAAACCATTCTCCTCCGCACTCCGAAGGGAGCGACCGCTCCCACTGGTGCGGGAGGAGGGAGCTAAGGAACTCGAGGTGAGGTAGAGAGAGAATGCTGTTGGCTCGCACTCACCTCCCTATTCCATGGTACTGTCTAGCTTCAGAGTCTCCCCCCGCGTGACTATTCGCGAGTCCGACACTACCATTCCGGGCTGGGGAAGGGGGGGGTCTGACATCTGATACCGGGTCATACCTCTGAACTCTCTCCAGGGCTCTGAATACGGATCGTTCCATTCATGAACAGATCCCTGGGGAGAGGATGTACTTTAACGTATGCCCTCATACAGAATAACGTTCTACCGGTTCCCAGCCTTGCCCTCTCCCCAGTGGTAGAATCCTAATCTCTTCCACCGAGGTGGTACGGACCGTTCCCCCGCCGCAAACAACTGCGGACTTCGAAGGCGTCAGATACGCATGCGCAGGACGGCTAGCAGTGGACAACAAGGCAGAGTGGGGCGCTTGGTGCAGGTGAGGCGAGGATGGTGACCTTCCCTGCCGCGCGGGTACTAGAAGGGTCGTGGGGGACCCGGATGTTTCAGCCTCGTTTTTGATCGAAAGAGACAATCTCCACTGACACCCCAGCATTCCCCTTCCGCCCCTCCCCCCGACACACGCGCGTGTCTCCGGCTCGTGGCTGGGCAGCCGGTGACTTCGCGCCCTCCCACCCCCAGCGTGGGCACGTGGCGCCCGGCGGCAGCAGCAGCCGCTGCCGCCCAGCCGTGAGGAGGAGCGAGGGACACCCCAGGGGATAAGCCCCCGCCGGGGCCTGGAAGCCTAGCAGCCGTCCCTGCCCTGCTCCCCAAGCCGGGCTGCCTCTGCACGGCTGGGCACTCCCCAGGCAGGGTGGGCGGCACAGCTCCAAGCTGCGCCTTGACACACTCTTGCCTCTGCCCTGAAGGAGCCTGGCACTGGCCGACGACACCCCCTAGAGCTGGTCCCTGCCCGTGGAGCCCGGCTGCCACGAGATGCTCCCTGAGGTGCTCACTCGCTGCTGCCCTTGCACTCCTGGACCTGCCTCTGCTCCTGAGGAGCCAGGGCAGCGGTGAGCAAGCATCTCAGGGAGCTCCTTTGTGGGAGAGGCAAGAGCACATCAAGGCACAGCTTAGAGCTGTGCTGCCCGCCCTGCCTGTGGAGTGCCCGGCTGTGCAGAGGCAGCCCAGCTCAGGGAGCAGAACAGGGATGGCTGCCAGGCACCCAGCTAGCGTCCTGGCTCCCCCAGTGTGGAGAGCCAGGGGCCTGGGCAGGCTGGGTGGCTCCCATCTGCTTCCAACCTGCCAGCTCCTGGCAGGAGGTGACCGTTTTCAAACTGTGGGGCAGGGGGATACCACATAGTTTGAAAACCTTTATGCTAAGGAAGACAAATCTGGGGGGGACATTATGTGACTCCATGTCACCTCTGGTTTGGGGGGCAGTGCCCCCCTGTTCTCCCCAATCTCTGCCCCTGCGTAGAAGGTAAAGAAAATCCAGTCCTGGGGAATTGTGGGAAGGGACTGAAGGATTAGTAGCACCCAAATTATGTAACCTGGGTTACAGTTCGCCTCCACACTGCAAAGGGTGGGTGTCACAGCCTGAGTTAAAGCAGAACCCAAGCTCTAATCCCCACCCGGGCAAGCAAATCTGGATTCAAAGCCACTCCAAAAGCAGGTCAAAGGTTTTTGTGTGGTGACAGTACGAGGTTTAGGGCTAAAACCCAGTTAAGAGACTGGGTTCACCATGCAGTGAAGACATCCCCTGAAAGGGACTACTTACTCCAGGCAGATGAGGCTATTCCAGGGTGAATGCTTCATATGAAGCTTTGTTCTTTTTAAAGTGGGACTGAACAAAGCTCTGAAAATGTACTTGGGGTTTCTGGTTTTAGAGTACAACTGATTAAAATTGATACAATTTAATCAATTTAGCTGATCAAATATTTGAGGAAACCAGTAGGTTTCTATAAAATAGTAACTGAAAATACTCTTATAATTACAATATGTACACTCAGGAAGACACTTTCCAGAAAGAGCCTAAAAGATTCTCGCTCACTGAGGGCTCATTCCTAGGTCTTAAGAAGAGTTAAACAGTGATTTTAAATATATCCTATCATTTTACTTTTTAAAAGCCATAATTTGTCTAAGAATAAATACTGAAAATTGGAACCAACAAACACCAGAAACTGGAACTCCTAAATATTCTATAGGGAATCATCCTGTGGTGCGAGGTTGGATAGATAAGAAATGTCTGAGCTTTTCTTTCTATGTTTTGTCCTTGTATCTGGAAAACAGGGCAAGGCAGCAGAAGTGAGCAGGCTTGGAGATTGGAAAGCCATGCCTCTCTTTGGGAACACATTCAGTCCAAAGAAAACCCCACCTAGGAAATCAGCCTCCCTCTCCAACCTGCACTTGGTAAGTGCGGGATTCTAGGGATCTTCTATCAACCCTTTAAGAACAAGGGACAGGTAATCTGCCTTAAAAATGTTATTGTAACAACTCTCATAACAAAGTATTAGACACTCCCCCCCACACACACACACACAGAGTCTCTCCGCTCTCATATTCCCATCTGTTTCTCCTTCCTCTTCTGGTCCAGAGTCATGACCACTTACTGATGGCTGGATAGTGAGAGAAGAAGTGGAATCTTTAGTTAGTGGCATACTTCACTCCATCTTCAGTCAGAAGCCAGATTCACGGCACCTGAAACTTCTAATGTGTGCTTTTAATACAGACGGCAGTGGGGCAGGAGCTTTCCTTACAGTTGGCACCAAAGATAGAGTAGGACCCGGAGAATGAACTCCCCTCATGTCCCTAAAGATAGCTCTTTTAGTTCAGGGGTGACATATGTTGGAAGGAGACTCTGTATAGGTGTGTGTGAGACAGAAGCTTGTACTGCAGCAGCATGTGCAATGTTAATAATAGGACATCAGATTCTATGGCCACTGATACAGCACCTTTCACAAGAATGCCAGTCACTTTAAAAAAAAGGTGAAGGTGTGAGGGAAAGTATGGAGAGGGAAAATGAAAATTTTAGAAAACATTGACTTTTTTTTCTGCAGCTGGACAGATCGACCCGTGAAATTGAGCTGGGCCTGGACTATGGCACTCCCAACATGAACCTCACTGGACAGAGTCTGAAGTTTGAGAATGGCCAGTGGATAGCAGGTGAGGAGCTGCTCCTGTTGCTTTGGTCTGGGAGAGTTGTGGAGTTACATGATGATTATAACTTTGGCCTGTCTCTCCTTTAGAGTCAGGGAGCAGCAGTGGGGATCGCAGGGAGGCACAGCGCCTGCGCAAACGGAACCAGCAGCTGGAGGAAGAGAACAATCTCCTGCGTCTGAAAGTGGATATCCTGCTGGACATGGTGAGGATGGGGAGATTCACCTTTCTGAAGTGACCAGAAATGCCCCTGAGACAGAGTGAAGAGCTCTGGGTCATCCCAAAAACACAGGTCCTAATGCCAACCTGTGTCCCTGCTCCCATTCACACTGAGCCCTACCCCGCTGTTAGACACACTTAACACAGTAGTGATTGTGCAAGAGTGAAGATTGACCTCATCCACTTCCTCCCCAAGAGGAGGAGAAGGTCCAGGTCCCTTCAGGAGAAGAGCTGGATTACAGTGAGTACTATAGTTGAGAGGAGGAGCCTGAACATCTGGATGATATAGGAAGACTTCCCCCATACCTTGAGTGTTTTCCATTTTCTATTTGTATATTAGTATCTTCTGCTTGTCACTATTGGGCTTTTGCAGTCAGTGAAATGAAGACCTTGACCATTCATGGTCACTTGAGATCTTAGGTTCCATAAGGCCTTCTTTTTTGCAAGAGTAATGAAAAAGATCTTTCATCTCCACCCCATAGTCTTTCACCCCAAAGACCATTATAAACTGAAATTCAGCAATACACAGGGGTCACAGCTTCCATGGAAAAAAATGCAGCCACTCCTGGAGTGAAACATGGTAACTATTTAACAAAGTAAGAATGTTAACCGATATGTCAGGGGTGGCCAAATTTACTGAGCCTCCAAGTCATGTTCGACAATCTTCAGAAGTTCAAGAGCTGAGGCACACCTGCTGGGGCTTGGGGCTTCAGCCCTGTGGCGGGGTGATGCCCTGCAGAGAGGGGAGTCTCAGGGCTTCAGCACGGTCCTGCTGAAGCCTCAAACCCTGGCCAGTGCACCCCATAGGGTTGAAGCCCTGAGACCCCCACTTCCTGCTGAACAGAAGCCAGAGGCAATGCGCAGGATGGGGGTACGTGGGGTCACATGCCCCCCAAAATCTGCTAGGATTTGCTGACCCCGCTCAGTCACATGGCGCCACCGGGCCCCCTCCCTGCACAGCATCTGCTGGAGCTGGCAAGCTGGGATTGCAGTTGTGAGGAGAGGCAGCGGCAAACAGCTGGGAGTTGCAGGGAAAACTCCTGAGGTTAAGAGGGAGGCGTGCCTGGGAGGGCGTGACTCAAGCTGTTGGGAGGGGTTGAACCTTTAAATTGTGACCTCCCCCCACTCTCAGGCACCAGTTGTCTCTAGCAGAAGCCCCAAGCTCCCCCGCAATCTGGTAGGTGGAGAATGGGGGTGTTGTGGGGGGGTCTGTGAGCTGCACTTTAACCCCGTGCTATGTCATCCTGACGAAATAGCAATTTGGGTAATTACATTCTCCTTCCCTAAATTCCTTCTGCAGTTTCAGTTAGAAAGATGCTGTTGTGGTTAAAGCACAGTCAGGAGGTCTGTGCTCTCCATAGTGTTTCTGGGTGGCCTTGGGCAATTCAGTGAACCTTCATGCCTCAGTTTCCCTCTCTGTAAAATGAGAGTGATATTTCTCTACCTCACATGGGTGAAAGCTAATTCATTCATGTTTGTAAATCTCTGCAAGGTCATTGGACACAGTGTGCTGTGAAATCCAAAGTATTAATTGCGGAAGCTCTTTCTCACTTCTTCCTAAAGCTGTCGTATAGTGTGTTACAGACTCAGAACCTGCTGAGTTCCACCCCAAAGGCACTTGTGTATCTGTGGTGTATGTCTGTAAAGTGCTTAGGGATCCTGCTGGGTGTAAGGGACTTCAGAGATATGTTAGATCAGAGATCGGCAACCTATGGCACGTGTGCCAAAGACGGCACGCGAGCTGATTTTTAATGGCATGCTGCTGTCTGTTGGGGCCCAGCCACTGGCGTCGCTCAGCACCCACTGCCAAACCCAGGCTGGGATCCCAGTGCCATTAAAAATCCAGCCCACCCCAGC